CCCCCCCGCCAAAAAGATTCAACTCTCTCTTCTCTGAAGGTTTTTTGGTCCTCATGCATAAACCTTTCATTTTAAAAAGCCAAAACAAAAACACTGACAACTTGCTCTTTCAGACTAAAACTTCTGCGAGCACCTGGAACATCTTAGCACTCCCCAGTAGCACCCTTAGGTGGGACCCTGACATTCATTGTCTTTAGTGACTTCTTAGCCCAGGTACTTAATATGCAAGGTGGTATTTAACATGCAAGTGTGAAAAAAATGAACATATAATCAACTAGAGTATGGATCGGGCAATCTGAGCACCGTGACAGAGTCTGCACTGTCCGGTACCATACAATCTGACAGGAGAGCTCGCCTTTAGCAAAGGCTAGTGAGTATGTGTTGAAAGTGGGTATGGTAGGAGAAACAACTACTAGGTGATATAGGAAATGCTCAGTCTTTAAAAGGACAGAGCAATATTGGCTACATTTGACTTCCAACTGAAACTTTTGGTCATATGAAGGGGTAAAAAGATAAATGTGCATTTCATACTGAGGGAATCGCCTGAGCACCAAAGGCCTAGATGTAGGAAGAGTATACATGACTTGAATGAAGCAGTGGGTTAGACTAGAGAATGAATGGTGGGTTTATAACGGTTGAAGAAGCCAGGGTGCTGAATGACTTTGTAAAGGACCTCAGATGCTGGGCTGAAAAATTTTACTTCTGAAGAGCTGGGAACAGAAAGGTGACAGAATTAAAATAGTTCTTGGGGCCGGTCACCCTGAGAGTGGGGTAGGAACATGCCTGAGAAGAATAACTGGAGAGATGCAATACCAAGTAGGAGACCAAGTGAAGCCAATAATCCGTTAATAGCTGAGACCTGAACCATAGCAGTCATGGAGGGGAAGACAGAAAAGAACAAAATCACCCAGGGAAAGAGAGGAGAATGGGCAATAGATCGCTGAGAAGGCTGAGGGAACAGGCTTGGAGTTTTAACCCTGTGTAAAACACAAGAGAAGGAAAAGTCTTGTGTGGGAAGACAGTGAGGTGTTGTGAAAACATACAGAACTTGGGATATGCAAGGGCCTTCTCTGAAGGCTGTTATTGACATACGGGGATTTCCAGTGAGGGGGAAGCCATTTAATCAGCAAATATATCTTATGGTCATGAGGGAGAAATGGTAGGACAATGACAAGCTTGGATGGACAGGATGTTTGTGTGGCACCTAGGAACCAGCAGACACCCACTGCGGGTGTGAGTAGATTGCCCGCAGACAGGACAGGAGGAAAAGGGCTATGAGATTCCTTTTCTGCCCTCCACATCAACCTAAGTCCTCTTTATTTGCCTAGCCAGATTCCAGTGAATGCAAATACGTGCTCCTTTGAAGTAGCCCAGTAGGGGGCACTCTATTGCCACGTCACTGAACTCAGTCACACTATTATTCAATTTTTTTTCCTTCCAGCAGTTTTTATGAGCCCACCAGAGACAGCATAAGCCTTTGAATCTCTGCACTGATAGCTCATTGCCCTCCCCAAAAAACCAGTCTGGAGTCCTTGTATAAAAATACAAAAGGTAGAAAAGCAGTGGTTTAGAACACAGCAGGACTGAAAATACACAGGGACACACATTGTGGCCACCTCTTGGACATCTGCTGCGCTCCTGAGAGCAGTGTCTCTGATGTCCCCACCAGCCCCAGTCCAGTCTGGGTTCCACCGACGGCTGTGAGCCAGCTCCTCATTGAAACCAGCTCAGGGCCCCCACATGTGCCTCTCTGGGCTCTCGGGGATGAACGAAGTCATCTCCAGTCATCAGAGGTGGAAGTGGCCAGACGAGAGTCGTTCAGCAGCTGGTCTTGGCTCAGCAGAGTCTGAAAGGACATGGTCACAGGGGCACTTTAACAGGCTTTTGGTCAGGGCTGCCTTTTGGCCTAAATGGGAAGTAGAGCACACTGGGTTTGATGCATATGTGATAATGGGCGCCCATAAGTTTATGGTGTCCGGGGATTCTGGGTCAAAATAGACAACACTATTAATACAGTGAGTGTTACTGTCTTAGAGGTAAAGTTATTTTGAGGCCTTATCTGAGGTGCTAAGAGCAAAGGTAGGTAGATTAATTTGAAGGTGCGAGCTAAGAAAAAAGCAATAAAAGTGATGTCTTTTCAATTTAAGATCCCCTTCTGCGCCTGTCTCGCCCTTTGGACCCATCTAGTTGCTGTGGAGTCAGTTCAATTCCTGGTGGCCATTTGTCGGAATAGAGCTGTGCTCCAAGGGGTTTTCAGTGACTCATTTTTCAGAGTACATCACTAGGCTTTCTGAGGTGCCTCTATGTCTATCCAAACCTCTAACCCTTTCGTTATCAACAGGCACATTAACCATTTGCAATACTCAGAGATACAACTCTCACTATGCCTCAGCCGATCAGCAAGCAGAGGACACGGACAGGCATGCAGCCTGGATAGACACCAGTGGGCTCAGTAAGTCCAGAAGCCAGAGGACCTGAGGAACTGTGGAACCTCAAAAACTTGAATCCCTTCTCAGACTTTGACGACTCTAGTCTGCATATATGCCTTGCAAGCTCCACTCTATAGATAAATAAATTGAGGCTAAGAGAGAGAATGATTTATTCACAGCCCCAAAGCTAGTGAGAGGCAGAGCAGACACTGGAACCAGGTCTCCCTAACTCATGTTTTCCTTCCCATGAGACCAAGTGTGTTTGTCCTCACTGGACACTTGCATCCTGTCATATCTGCTAAGTCAGAGGCAGTGCACAGAAAGCAAAACCGTGTTCCTATGGCCAGAAATGAGGCCTGACCTTTGGCATGACTGGGTAGGTAGCCAAGAGCTGCTGAACATCTTGATTCCATACAAGTTCCTGGCCTGGGAAGAGGAGAAGTGCTATCCTTTAGCTTGGCCAAGGTTCATTACCCTTAAATGCCCTTAGTGGCTCAAGGACCAGCAACAGGACTATCAAGGGGGCTTGGGCTCCTTTCTCCTTCAAGAGCAGGCTCAGGGTTAGAGCTCAGGCTATAGCCCAAGTGTCAGTCCCATCCTGTACTCTCCCTCCCCACACCCCCAGCAAAGCCACTGATAACACAGGCTCTGGGGTAAGGGTAGGGATGCCCTGGGCCTCATATCCCATCACACCTGAGTCTCTGCAGCACCTGTCCTACTGCAAAGAGAGAATGGGAGTCCTACCGTGAGACGGTGAATGTCTTGGGAGAGGAGCCCTATCTGGGTCACGGTGCCTTCCGAAGGTGTCATCTGTAAAATGGGCAGCAGCCTGGTCAGCACATGGGGTCAGCTTGTGATCTTCAGACATCACGGCATGCAAGTCCTGCCCTGCACAGGCCTAGCTTCTCCAGGGCATGCCTTCCTGGAGCAAGGCCTAGGAGTGCATCAGGCCAGGGAGTGATAGGTGGGTGGAGCACATGCCAATTCTGTCCATGAGGAAAGGCAGCTTCTAGTGTCCCCTACAGCCATGCACAATCTCCCAGGCACCCGCCTGGTACTTAGAAGCACACGAGCAAGGCACAAGCAGGCCCCCGAGAAGCAGTCCTTCTGCACATGTTCAGTTTTCCAGGCATTTCATTATGCAGACAGCAGCAGGAGCAAAGGTCTCCAGGATGAAAGAAGTGATGGTTCTTGGCACCAGCAGGACTCAGACATGGATGCCCAAATATATGCAGAAGCCACTGATGGAGTGCTTTCAGTCCCCACACCCTACCTCCTCCTCAGGCAATTCTGGTTGGCTCCTTCCTCCCTAAACCTGAAGCAACATTGTAGATTTGGAAGTATCCTCTGAGGACATCAAGTACAAACCACTTATAGGGAGGAAAATTCCCACAAATGGAATAAACCTTCTTTGAGGCTACACATATTATTAGTGGCCAAATAATTCCACGCAGGGCTTGAAAACAGACACATGCAGAGACCCTTTCACTAAGACATGAGAACAAACAAAGGGCAAAGCCTGCCCTGACTGTGGCTCTACATCTGCAACGCCCAGGCTATATCAGCTTACAGAGTACCTGCCACTCAAGGATCCTGGGTACCAGGATCGAATCACAGCCATGCCAGCTAGCAAGTGTGTGCCCACGTATTGTGCTGGCTAGAATTCTTCAGAGGCTCTGGCCTCTACCATGCTTGAGCCTACCTGTTTGAGTAATAATTCTTAGTGTCACTTCGACTTGGGGCATAATTGAGGATGCTTACAAATGTGTCACCAGGCCCTGCCCCAGTCATCAGCATGAAATAAGCTTTTCTTTTTCTGCAGCTGAGACCTGGGGGCCCAGTGGATTCCAAAACTATCCTAGAGTAAACTGGAAATCCAAAGAACAGGAACCTAAACCAGCAAGGTGTGACTGTCCCTCAATCCTGGTCCAGAGAGGAACTATCTAGAAGAGCCATTCTCAGTCAGCCAAACTCTAGGGTCTGTTACAGCGCTCCCTACACAGACCTGCCGCATGCGGCTGTGGGCCCCACGAGCTCCCCTATAGGAAAGCTGCCAAAAAAGCACAAAAGAGGAAGTCTTTCCAGCAAGCCTGTCCTTATCTCCTGAGTGTACTCTTCACTAGTTAGCACATGATGCTGAAGTGTAAACCAAATCTGGAGTTCATGCAACAGATGTGATATACAATTAGTTTGTGTGTGAGATACAAAGTTCTCTCTGAAACACAGGAGCATGAAGCAATGTATCTAAATGATATGACATGTCCTTCCTTGCTCCACCCCCCTTGTTCATGACTCAGACTCCATCTCTAGCTTTCTTCCCCCAGCAAGATTAAGGATGTGCTGCAATATTTGCTTTCTACATAAATATTTTTATTACCAGAAAGATGCGGTCACCTCTGAATAAGGCACGGCATAATTTACCACTGTGGCAGAAATCCTTGCTGTTTGTCCTTTTAGCTCAGCTAAGACCCTGGCACACAGGCCTAAGGCACTTGAGATTTTACCCTCAGATAAAGGATAGGTAAGGCACCTGAGAGCTGAGCCTCTTGGGATTGTCCATGGTCTTTGGACTTATGTCCAAGTTCATGTGAATTTCCACTGGTGAAGATGAACATTAGGAATCACTAAAAATGTAAAAGCATCTTTCGGTGTCTTTTTTTCTCTGAGTCCACCTTTGGCAGTAGTCCCCAAAGCTTGACCCCTTAGCAAAGGTGCAACTCCATATCCTGGGGAGTCGCAAGAATGGTCCAAGGGTATACAAGTGCTGGAATGTTCTCCGCAAATCATGCACAAATGCAAGGGATGAGATGCAGTTATATGGCGTCACACGAGGTGTTAACTGTGAGCTCTCAGGTGCAGAGGAAGCAGGTGACAAAGGCATCAGCTAATCTGTCCCACCTGGTCTAGCCCATCGAGTTCAGGGGCATCGAGTGGGTTAAGGCAGCGGTAGCCACTGTAGACACTGTGGCCGTCACCAGCCCCATCACTGGGCTCCATAGGACAAATGTAGTCTGTTGATTCATCAAACTTCTTTTTTCTTATGTTTCCAAAATGTGAAAATCCTAGCTTCCTTGGCTAAAACAAAAAATATGCAAGATTATGAGAAGGATATAACCAAGTCAGTATGCAAATCTGACTGATATACATTAAGAAGAATAAGCTCACAAGGAAAGAAATAACATGAACTGCTTCTGGGGCGGGTGAGGAGTATTAACAAAAGACAGCTCTTCATAAGCAATTCACATTGTAAGTCAGAGAAATGTCAATAACTCATCCTTTATTACAGCTCCTCCAAAATCCTGTTTTAAACTTGGGCCCTGCTGCATCATATATTCGTATTTCTCCAGGCAGCAGGAGTTCCTAAAGGATGCTGCAGTCTACGCTTGAGGCTGAGCCCAGAGACCCACCGCATGGAGGATCACCTCCTTGGCCTCATACTACATAGTGCCTGGGAAGCCATACTTGGCAGCCCTAGCTTTTACCAGTGTGTTTGTTAAGCATGTCAGAGATGATAATGGAACAGGGTTCCAATCTGTTGTTCATAGCGTTGCTATTAGTCATACTCGACTTGGCAGCACCTAACAACTCAACAATTCCTTATTGTCTTCTTCGCCACGCTATACTCTCAGCATACAGCCTCTTCTGCTATTTGTGGAAAGACGTCTCTGCATGAGTTATAGCTGGAGTTGGAGGCATCAAAGTGTCACGGAGATCACTGAGTGTCACACTCAGACAACTTCCAGCCAGGGTATGATCTGAGGGCTTCTGAGGGTTTGGTCAAAGACAACGTGACTCAGGATGGTCTAACAGGCTTTCTGAAATTCAGAGAGCCTCACCAAGTGTAGCTGGTGATTGGACAATTTCAGAACCTCATGACAGCGGTATGCTGACCACATAATCACAAGACAAATGGGTCTGCTGCCTACAGAGGTAATCCCTGTACAGGCAGGACAGCTCTGAGTAAGGCCAGACAGCACTGCAGCACACCGAAGGGCCTCAAGGGGATTCATCTGCTTTGCAGCTCTGAGTACCAGCAGCACTGTGGTAGAATATGCATTCTCACCCACTTGAGAATACATATCGTCTCTGAACCCATGTGCATATGTGGAAATTCAACACATAGTTTCTGTATAAAGAAATCATTATTTTCCCTGGACTTACACTTGGTGGGGAACTTGCTTAGCAAAGTCCAACAGACAATAAAACCAAATTTCTATAGCAGAAGCCTCCTCATCTGAGCTGCACACACTTGCTCATCTGGCTCCAGGCAGGGCAACTAGTGAACAACATAAAGATCAGAGGGATACCAGGAACCCTGGCCCAGAAGGGTCTAGAACTCACCCGGACTTTGGCTGTGGTGGTGAGGGGCGTGTAGGCTGGTGAGGTCATTTTCTCTCGCTTTTCCTGTTCAGCCTCAGGGCCGATGAGGGCATTGAATTTGGTGGTTAGGTGACGTCTGAGGAGTGTCTTTTGTGGTGGAATGTTGAGGAGCATGGCCAGTGTGTCCCCAGTAAAGCGGGATTCCAGGATCTAAGATTAAGTCACAAACACAAAGCTATTCACAATGGCTCGCTACTGAGAAAGCAAAACCTTAGGGTACCTCCAGGCAGAGGCTAAACTTAAGCATTTATTCTGAGTCTTGGCCTCTCTCTCTGACACAGGGCCTAGCTGTGAGCAGAAGCTTTAACTGATGACCAGATTTTCACAGACCAGCAGAGAACTGTGACCTCTTTCATTAGGCTGTCTTTTGGACTGTGTTCTGGATGAAATCCAAGTCACTACCTTCTCATTTCCCGTCCAACTTTGTCATTCAACCGTTGGGAGTGGCGAGGATCGGATTGTATCGTGGCAGGCAGGAAACCACATTTTGATGGCCTCCTCCTCACTTCCACAATCCTTGCCATCTTGTTCCTTTAGAGACAAGTGGAGTTGCTTTGTTAAGGGTTGAGCCCCATGCAACCCCATTAACCTCAAATGCCTCTGAGTCTGCAGCTAGGAAGGTGTTCCCTAAGTCAGCCAGGCTTCCAGGAGCTATATCAGTCCTCAATTGCAAATTATCAAAATGCTTTCTCTCGGTCTACAATATATGCAAAGGTTTCAGATGAAACATCAGTATTTTTTAGTAGGATTAATGTCTTGCCCTTAAGAAACCAGTTTCTGAACAGCCTAATTGGGACCTTGTGTGAGCAGGTGGGGTCGTCCAAAGGGACACTCACAATGAGACCCCCGTGGACACCACTCCCTCGCAGGTTGGGTGCATACTCCGCCAGGTCCACAGACCGCAGCCACTCCATCACTCTGTGGTTGGACCACTGCACAACTTCTGAAGGAGAGAGATTACTCTGTGAGAGGGAGGAGGAGAGGAAGAAAGTAGGTTAATAGGTCCTCACCTGAGAGTGGTGGCTCAGGCAGTGCAGACTCAAGATGCTTCAACAGAAAAAAGATCCTAGAGCCCGCAAGGCCTAGTAACTCAGGCCAGCTGGGACTGTTGGCCCAAGAGCCTCCCAGTTTCCAAGAACCAGGGCTCTTGTTGAAACCTGCAGTGTTTTCTACACTGATTTCAGAATCTTGTCACTCCCTAATTCTCAGGTTATCTTTGAGAGTAATAACTGAAAGCTGTAATAATTCATTCGGTGATTCAGTGGAATTTTGAAAATGACTGCTATAAACACAAGATCTTCCTGGTACAGCTGAACAATTTAGGGAAGCACACACGAAAATATTTGTACCTAGGTGCCATCTTGGTCTTGAAGCCCAAATCCTGTCTGTCATTCATACAGTATTGATAACATTTTTGGTAAATAGAAAGAAAATAGAAGATATAGGAAAGAAGTAGGAATTTTTAATCTTTCTGGATGCTGACATAATCTTACATAAATATTTCATTCCTAAGAATAGAGAGATAGAGAATGACGGATAATCTTTCAGCATTAAGACCCACAAGGGACGCCTAGGCTCACAGAACATTGCAGGGACTTCACCAGGATCTTGATTGCTTTGTTAATCTACAGTTTATTTTTTCTCCATGGATCTCTACTTACCTACCTAGGGCTGGAGGTTAATTTTGTTTCCACAGCAGGGAGATCTACTGAATATTCTGAAATACCTGATTCTTCATAGTTTCCTTTTCTCTCCTCTCCAGCTCATTTCTCATCTGCTAACTTTGATTACTTTTTTTTTTAAATAAAACTTGTTATTGTAATTGTGATTTTAATGAAAGTTTAGAGAAAAGTTAGACATCTTTCTCTTTTGTCCTTTCTTCTCCATTTCCTTTGTTTACTATGTGCCTTGGAAAGACTTCCTGCTACTGCCCTCATGTGCTCACGTACAAACCCTCATGCCTTCCAAGTTCTCTAAAAGAAGGTGACAGATTGAAGGTTAAGAGCTTTCTGAGGATACAAAGTCCAGGTAACAGAAATGTTTTGGACACAATAAGGCAAATGCAGAGCACCAGCAAGGAAGCAGCACGGAGCCCTGTGGTTCAGAATGCTGCCATTTCTATAATGTTGTTACTCTTATTTTCTCTCAGACAGTGTCACGTGTTCTCACTCAAGGACACCGTAACAGGTCCTGTTCTGCCCTCACCTCATCAGCTGGCCGCCGGTGTAGACAGTGGGGGTTGAACTTGTTGACATGCAGCACGTGAATGGCACATTTGATGCTGAGATGATGTAATTGGCTGGTGACTTTTAAGAAGAGGAGATCATTCTGGAAGAAGAAAGTCTTGGTTAACGAAACAGAATTGCCCAAGTATCTGAAGACCCCTTAAGGCCCCTTCTTGGACCATAACAGAACACAGTAAAACATCTACATGTTTTACTGCATCACAGGAAGAGGGACCTATCAGGTTCCTTTACAGAAATTATCTATATGCTACCACTAATCAGTTATCACTGGGTTCATTCTAATGCATGGCAATTCCAGGTGTTTCAGAGTAGAACTACATTCCATACGGTCTTCAATGGCTGTAATCTTTTGGCTGTAGACTGCCAAGCCTTTCTTCCAAGGTACACTGGATAGATTTGAACTGTGTTGCCAATCTCTTGGCTATTAATTGAATGCTAAACCATTTTCAGCACTCGGAAACTACACTCTACTCGTAGGGATCTCTTATGGTAACAAATGATACCTTTTCAGGACCTTCAGAATATGAGGGAGGCCTCCCTATATGAGACTTGGGTTTAAAGGACAACCACGTGAACCCCTAAGGGAAGTGCTCACACAGACAATGGAGAAACTTAAAGGAGAACTCCTCACCACAGTTAAGTACTGCAGCATTCGCCCGTCAACTCTGGATTCATGAAATTGGTCTTTGTATTGGGGGAGGCCTATATCATCCAGCCACCCTACAAAAGCAGGAATAAATACGTGTAAAGATTCATGAGAATAGGAAAATACGGAGGCAAAAAGAAAAAAAAAAGTGGCAAATTACCATTTTGAAGTTCTTGTCTTATTGCCCAAAAGGTTCAAGAATTCCTTTTCCCTTTTTAAGACAGCAGTCTCTGGGGTGCCATTCAACAGGGGCACTCTTCCCCCCTTAGGAGCATCCAGCACCATGTTTAACTCTTAAGTAAATGCCTATACTTACGTGTCACCCAAATGTGGTCTAGCAGCGCAGACTTCTCCTCCTGCTTGGTGTTGATAGCTTTCACTGCTAAAACCAGCTTTTTCCTGTGAAGAGGGTGCTTAATTCCTAACTCCTGAAAATTGATAGATGGAAGACCAGATGTGAAAGCTCGTCAGGCAGTTCTGCCCGGATGATGCCTTCTTGGTAGAGATACTCTGAGAGTGTGACAGGAGGCCCTGTGATGTCAACCTGGAGCAACAAAGGGACTCTACCCATGTACATGTGTGAGGTGGTGAGGTAGGGAGAGGGGAAATCCATCTTCTGGATTGGTTTGAGAAGTTGGAGTTCAGCCCAGCCCTTACCTTTTCCATGTCCTGAGGGGTAGCTGTCAGTAAGGTGTGGCCAGAGGTCACCCATTGCCTGGCAAACATCACATACTGTCCCAGGCCAAAGTCCTCCAGCCAGGCACACACACGTTCTGTGTTCCACTGGGCAAAGGGGGCATTGGCATCACTGGGAGCAGAAAAAAAGAAAGACATTTCCCTGTTAGTGTGCAAGCCTGAAGTTCCATGTGAATATAATAAAGTCCCACCAAAAAAAACTCTTTGTTTGCTTCAATGCTTTTCTAAAACCAAACACAGAGAATTCTGAGAGCAGCCTTGGAAACATAAAATAACACCTACAAAGGGGAGGCAGTAAATCTAAGCTCTAACTTCTCGGCAGAAACTGCACATGCAAGAAAACAATCAGGTGATGCACATAAGAACCTGAAAGTAAATAAATGACAAATGAGAATTTTAGCTAGATAATAGATGGATGGATGGATGGATGGATAGATAGATAATCTCGGGCAGAACATAGTACACAAATATATCCTAGTTCGGTGAGTAGCATCTGAGGTCTTAAAAGCTCGCAAGTGATCAACCACACTAGAGCAAAGGGCAGCATTTGCAAAGGGATACAGTTCAGAAGCCAGGAAGGGAACGGGATAGGATGAATGAAAACAAGCAGCACAGAGAAAAAGCAAGAGAGCTGTTAAAATGTGGTGACTGTAACTTATAATATAAATACAAGACAAAATGGCTGAATGGCAAATCATTTTGTTCTGTAAAGTTTCAGGCATATCACAAGAAAAAAATTAATAAACAAAATTCGCTAGTTTCTTTGAAGATACAGCTGTTGTTCTCTTTATGCCTGGAACTAAGGAGAATGAAGAAAACCAAAGACTCAGTGAAGCAAATAGTTTTAAACTAATGACCCACATGAACCAAAGCCGCCTCTAGACTGAGACCAAGAGCTAGTTGGTTTCCAGCTGTCCCTCCCGACTATTCTGACTAGTTGTTGTTGTTGTTGTGTACCAATGAGTGGGATCCGACCCTTAGCTGACCCTCCAGTGGGTTAACGGATCGAAGGAGATGGCCCATCTTTCTCCCACAGAGTAGCTGGTGGATTCACAGTGTACATTTGGTTTGGCAGCACAGGATCGCAGTTGGAATGGGGAAAAATTTACAAAATTTACCAAAATTTGTAAAGATCAGAGTTACTGGTCTGTTGGAGACTTCAGGGACCCCAGAGACTACTGCCCTAAGTCAATCCTCTAACTCGGAAGAGAAGCCGTTCCTAGAGACTACCTGTCAATCAAACAATAGTTGGACCACCTGAAAGTAACACCTGAAAAGAATGTGCTACTGACAACAAGAGCAGCTTAAAAAGACCAAAAACAGGGCAACACTTTTCACAAAACAGAAGAGAAGGCAGGGAGGGGCAGGTAATCTGATGAATGGAAGCAGAGAACGGGGTAGAAATGGGGAGAGTGTAACACACTGTGGAGATTGTGATCAGTGTCTAGAACAATGTGTATGCCTATGAATTATTGAATGGAAAACAAGTTTACTGTGTAAACTTCCACCTAAGGCATAATTAAATGTTAAAAACAAAAAAAAGGACATGAATAAATGAAGAGCTAGATCATGTTGTGAGACAGGATGACTGGGCTTAAAAAAGTTAACAACTCTTAAAGACATCAATTTTTCATTTAAAGTGTGAATGTAATGGCACATTCAAAATTCTAAAAGTTTCTATTTTTAGGTAGGGAAAAAAAGCAACTTTGTATTAGTTTTTTAAATTAAATAGAAATTTGTAAAACATAAAAGACTAGATATTCAGAAAAATACTTCTTTGACAAGGATACACACAGGAATGCATTATTCATGGATGTATATATATTAAATATGGACATAATATACTCCAGTCTCCAATATGGACTGAAGCTCATTATTAAGAAAAGATTCTCACCTCCAGACCAGTTGGCAGCACCATGATAGATGGAGGAGAGTGAGATTGTTAATAATTTCAGCTTACTTGGATCCAAAATCAACATCCTTGGAACCAGTCAGAAAATCAAAAGATGAATTGCATTGGGAAAATCTGTCAGGGACCTCTCCAGAGTGCTAAAGAACAATGATGTCAGTCTAGTGATTAAGGTGTGTCTGATCCAGGCCATAGTCCTCGATGGATCAGAAAGGTGGACAATGAATAAGGATGCCTTTGAGTTGTGGTCCTGGAGAAGAGTATACCATGAACTGCCAAAAGGACAAACGGGTCTGTCCCGGAGAAGGTGAAGCCAAGCTGCTCCTTGGAAACAAGCTCCATCTCATATGTTTAGTGCATGTTACCAGGAGGGACCAGTCCTTGGAGAAGGACATCATGCTTGGAATGGCAGAGGAATAGCACATGAGAGGAAGACTCGAGATGAGATGGATTCATACAGTAACTGAGATAATGGGGATAGGTGTCAGAGACAGTGGGACTGGCTCAAGAGAGGGAACATTTCAGAGCTACTGTACATAGGGATGCTATGAGTCACAGTCGATTCGATGGTCCATAACAACATGTATCCATATGTATGCATATATCTCTGGTGGCCTAGTGGTAAGAAGCTGCACTGCAATCCCAAAGGCACAGGGTTCAAATACAGAAGCTGCTCACAGAAGGAATCATCTCCCGGATGATTTACTGCCTCCTCACTGGCGGGTCAGCTTTGAGTCGGTTCCAATTCAGTAGCACACAACAATAAAATATATATTCATCTAAATGAATTTAGAACAACTGATCTGAATGCAAAGAATTCCACAGAGAGCCAGAAATCAGAAGAAACCACTAATCTAGAACAAATGGTAGAGATGATATGTGCTCGAGGCAGTGTGGCTTGGAGCTCCGGTATTAACCAGCTATAAAAAGGTGCAGATGCGGGTTTGGAAGGCCTGAAGTGTGTAAAGTTTGACCCTCTTTAAGAAAAGTAGAAAAAATAAGTATGGAATTCAGAATAAAGTGACTATTTCTTTAGAATAAACAAATTTCAAATGAGTAAAATAATGAAAAGCAGCTAGTATCCATAAAAAGAAATATTTTGATTGATTTACCCCCAGGTACGCCTCTGTAACACATTTGTACCCTCAAAGTTTGGCTGTGCACTCTTCTGATTGCTTCTTCACATGGCAGCAATCGGCTAATATGTTCCACGGGAACAGAAGGCAGACTGAGCAGAATTTTCCAGACTAACTTCTGATTTTGTGCATTTCAAATGCTGGGTATCGTCCACTCCCTTCTACTTCTGGTACCAAGTGCCCGAGGACACATTTATATTGTGAGGTGAGCTCTGATCTTGCATTTTTCACATCACAATACTGGATAAAAGAGTACAGGCATACTTCAGAGACAGCATGGGTTCAGCTCTAGACCACCCTAATAAAGCAGCTATCACTACTAAGCAAGTTACAAAAATGTCTTGCTTTCCCAATCCAAAGATTATATTTACACTACACTATTAAAGGCACTCTGTGACATAGAGGGTTACATGTCAGGCTGCTAACTGAAAGGTGAGCACTAGGAATCCGCCAACCCCTCTGCAGAAGACAGCTGAAGCAGATTAAAATTTACATTGTTTTTATGTACAGTCAGTCGGAACAGACTCATCGCTGACCAGCCAGCAGGTTTTCAGAGGCAATAAATCACATAGGAGGAGATTGCCTTGGTCTGTTTGGGTTTTATCAATATACAACAAAAAAAACCTAAAATAGAAAAAATTAAATACTTGGTACTGACAAGTGGTTCAAAAGGCACATCCTATTCAGCAGTGAGAATTAGGATATAAATCAATAAAACCTTGCCTGGGGGAAAACTCCAAAAATTAAAAAACCCAAACTCACTGCCATCGTGACAGCAACACTCTCCCATGTTTCTGAAGCCACAAATCTTTACTGGAGGAGACCGTCCATTCTTCTCCTGGCTAGTGAGTTTGAACCGCTGACCTTCAATCAGCAACCAGACATTATTCACTACACGTCACCATTAAATCATCTGGGAAAATGCTGTCGAATCAGAATTGGCTCACAGCTCACCCTCCTGAGGGTTTTTGGAGGCTGTAAATCATACAGAATGAGATTTTCCATTTTTTCCTGCAAAGCAACTTGTGAATTCAAACCATATTCAGTTGGATTGGCAGTGCAGCTCCCTACCACTCGGCTACCAGTTTGCCGTTCTGCACTAACAGGTAATAAAAGTTGTTGTTTTATTATCAGAGAGTTCCTATACAATGTCATCATCAAAATGCTAAAAAACAATTGTTTCACTGGGGGTGGGTAAAAAGAATTGGAGTTGGAGAACTTGAGTAACAAAGTATTTTTTATTCTAGAATTGTCTTTGTGTTGTTGATGCTGGGGTGTTTAGGTGTGCTTGTGTGTTAGAGTGGTTATTTTCATTATGATTTTAATGAAAGTTCACAGAAAAGTTGGATCTTCATTCATTGTTGCACATTTTTCTCCCTACACTCCTCAGTTTTTTTAAAAATCATTCATTCATTTCCTCCCTCCCCCCACACCACTCCCACAGTCCACTTTGCTATGCACCTCTTATTCATGATTGTTGTCATACATATGCCTAATCATACATTCCTTTTAAACAGTTCTTTCCTTCATCTGTTCCAATGTAGCCTTCATTATCTATCCCCTCTTTTCTTAGTTTCCCCCTAGCACTGATGTTAGCCCTATTTTATAACAGTGGTATTATGCAGTACAAATCCTTTTGTCACTGAGATATTTCACTCAGCATAATGTCCTCCAGGGTCCCCCATGTTGTATAATATTTTATGAGTTCCTTGTTTTTTCAGTGCTATGTAGTATTCCATTGTGTGAATATACCATAGTTTTTCTATCCATTTATTTGTTGATGGGCATTTGGGTTGCTTCCATCTCTTTGCTATTGTGACTAACACAGCAATAAACGTGAGTCTGCATATATATATATATATATGTTTGGATAGCACCTCTGGTTTCTTCAGGGTATATTCTTAGTAGTGGAATTGCTGGATAAATGGTATTTCTATTTCCAGCTTTTAAAGAAAGTGCCATACTGCCTTCCATAGTGGTTGTACCATTTTACATTCTCACTAGCAGTGAATAAGGGTTCCAACCTCTCCACAACCTCACCAGCATTTGTTGTTTGCAGATCTGTTGAATTTTGCTATTGTTACTGGGTGAAATGATATCTCATAGTTGTTTTGACTTGCATCTTTCGAAGAGCTAGAGATTTTGAACATTTCTTCAAGTGTTTGTTTGCCATCTGAATGTCTTCTTTGGTGAAGTGTCTGTTCATATCCTGTGCCCATTTTGTGACTGGGTTATTTAACTTTTCCTTGTTGAGATACTAGAGAATTCTATAAATTTTATATATGAGTCCCTTATCATATATGTCATTACCAAATATTTTTTCCCCAGTAGGTGGCTTTCCTTTTGGAAAGAAAACTTTTCCCCTGTTGGAGAAGTTTTTTGATGTGCAAAGGGATTTGATTCTTAGAAGATCCCATTCATCCATTTTATTCCCTCCTGGTTGTAGGTTTTTCAAGAAGTTTGGAAGACTATTCATACTATGGAGTAGGGCTCCTATAGTTCTTCCAAGCTTTGCTCTGATGATGTTTATTGTTCTTGGTTTTACTCCTAGGTCCTTGATCCACTTTGAGCTGGTTTTTCTGTATGGTGTGAGGTATGGGTCTTGCTTGAGTTTTCAATAGAGAATTTTCCAATTTTGCCAAAACCATTTGTTAAGGAGGCTTTTATTTTTCCACTTATCTGATTTCATCTTCTTTTCAAAAATTAGTTGACCATAAGTAGATGAGCTGATTTCTGGGTTCTCGATTTTATTCTATTGATCTATGTGTCTGTCACTATACAAATACCATTCTGTCTTTGACCACCACAGCTGTGTAAAAGGATTTGAGATCAGGGAGTGAGATGCCTCCTACCTTGTTTCTCTTTTTCAGAAGTGTTTTATTTATTTGGGGTCTCTTTCCTTTTCAGATGAAACTGGAAACTGCCTTTTCCATCTTGTTGAAAATGGAATTGGTATTTTTATTGAGACTGCATTGAACCAAAGTAATTTCCTATAGAAATATTGGTGATAAACTTTGTACAAGTTATGACTAACTAGCTATAAACTATAAATTCTAGAGGAACTTAGCATTTAGTTACTTCAAATTTCTTCTTAAGAGTAACAAAGGGCACTTTTTCTACCAACAACTTATTTTTGTGGCATCAAGCATTATTAAGAAAAATAGAACCATCTTATTTGACCTTCATCATTTTCTTCATTTTTTTATTGGGATTTGGGTGAACATTTTAAATAGTAAATTGGTTTTTATTATTCATGCTCATCATTAACAAAGCACAAACCATCCCATCAAAGCCACTGGGATAGTTAGCTTCTTTCCTTTGGTAGAGAAAGTTCTTGTTCTAGTGTCTGTTCGTGTAGTTAACTATCTAATCTGAAGCCCAAATTAACTGGCAAGACAAAAGGACCTTTCCTATGTATGCAGCATACTCAAAGCCATTGGTGGTACAAATGGTTAATCAAAGGGTTGGATTTTTTTTTTTTTGGAGTTTTCTGGATTTCTTTTTTATTGTTTTGCTATTGAAAATAGATACAAACCATAAAAATTAATTAGTTTTTGCATGTACAATTCAGTAACATTGATTATTTTCTTCAAGTTTTACAGCTATTCTAACCCTACCTCTCTGAGTAGTTCCTCCCTCATTAATATAAACTCATTGCCTACTAATCGTTTAAGTTATTGTTAATTTTTTTCCATATATATTGATGCCTTTGAATAGTGGTGTTGGAGAAGAATATTTACTATACCACGGACTGCCAAAAGAACAAACAAATCTGTCTTGGCAGACATGTAGCCAAAGTTCTCCACACAAATAAGGATGGTGAAACTTTGTCTCATATACTTTAGGGCATTTTACTGGGGGAAACCTGGAAGACAACCTGGTGCTTGGAGAAAGTAGAGGATGAGTGAAAGGGAGGAAGGTCCTCAAAGAGATAAACTGACCCAGTGACTGTGAGAGCAGCACGGATTGGCCAGGGTTTCATTCTGCTGTACATCACTAGGAGTCAGAGGCAACTTGATGACATTTAAAACAACTAACTTTTGTGTAACAGTATTGTTAAGTGTCATGGAGTCAATTACGACTCATAGCAACCCTATGCACAATAGCCCGAAACCCTGCCCTATCTTGAGCCAATCTCACTGTCTCCAACACACCGAACCCCATTGCCACAGTCACTGTGTCAATCCATCTCATCCAGGGTCTTTCTCTTTTGTGCTGACCCTCTGCCCTTCCAAGCATGATGTCCTTCTCTAAAGACCCATCCCTCCTGGCAACATGCCTAAAATATGTGAGACAAAGCAACCTGGATTCACCCTTGTTCTCTTGGTGGTTCATGGTATGTTCGATACTCTTCTCCAGCACCATGACTCAAAGGCATCAGTTCTTCTTCTATCATCCTTAGTCATCGTCTAGCTCTCTGATACATAGCAAATAATTGTGAAGACCATGGTCTGTATCACATTCACTTTAGTCTCTAGACTGACATTGTTGCTCTTCCTTACTCTGGAGAAGTCCCTGACACAGACTTTCCCAAAGCTACTTATCTTTTGATTTCCTGACTGCTGAGGCCATTAGTGCTGATTGTGGACCTTAACAACCTCAATCTGTTTTCCATCTATTATGATGCTGCCAATTGGCCCAGTGGTGAGAATCTTTGTTCTCTTGATGGTGAGATGTAATTCATATTGGGTAAGATTGAAGATAGATTGGTCTGTTCCATTAATACCCTTTTGTGGAGGTCTGTGGAATGAGGAGGATGATCCAGAAAGAGATGAGAAATTCCCTTTCTGAAACTGACCCCTGAAAGGGAGAAGGCTGGCACTTGAGGCAGATATACAGTGATTCACACATAATCCTCATAAGAACCTTTATCAAATACTTGTTGATTCCCAGTCCACAAATGAGGAAATGAAGGCATGGGAGGGTTATGTAATTGGCCTTACATTTCATTGCTTCAAGTTGCTGAGTGGAAATTTCAGCCCCTGACTGTTAATGGCTCCACCAGAGCCTCTCGATCCCATGTGCGAGGGCACTGCTAAAAAGAGGAGCCAAGCTGTAGAGAATCTCAGTCTTCAGGGTGGCTAGAGGGTCCTACCCCTCCATCTACTTCTGGCTGTAAAGAGTCCTATGTATTTATCTCAGTGTTCTTACCAAAATCCACTGCAACCAAGTCAAATCTGACTTACAGCAATCCCATAGGACAAGGGAGCAGAACCCGTAGTAGTCTTTCAAGGTGAAAGATGGTGGTGTTGACTGTGGACCTTATTTTATCTTATTTGTATCCCACTTTGAACCCTTGGTACCAGCAGTCAATGAAATCTAAAGATGTACTGCATTGGCTAAGTTTGCTGTTCAAGTGTGTCAGAGATGATGAGGACGGCACAGAACAGGGCAGGTTTCAGATCTATGATGTTGTTCATAGGGTCACTGTGAATCATACTTGACTTGATGGAACCTAACAACAGTAATAAGAAGTTCACTCTTTGCAGATGAGCTTTTTTTGAGATGAGAGACACTAACCTCTTTTGACCCTTGGAGTCTCTGGTTCTGGAGAGTCTTGGTCCTGCGGTTGCCCGGAGTCCACCTCGTCGAAACTCTGCCATCCCAGGTGTATCAGTATTGAAGTTTCCTGACTGAGTTCTTCGAATTCTATATGAAGGAAATCAATGAGGATCACTGAGAGACAGTCTGACAGGCTCCAGTGCATGTCCACCTTCACAGGGCCATGCAAACCTCGACTCTGTGAAGCAGTAACTACCAAAGCATTTCCTGAGGTCAAAGATTATAGTCCATAACAGTCCCTTGGCCAGACTCAAGCCTCAGTTCTGATCTTACTTCTGGAAACTAGGCCACTCTCTTATGGGTCAAAGTGAAAGCTGATGTCAGGTAGGAGGCCACAATTTCTACCTCACTTAATAGACTGGATTAATTGAGACAGGAAAAATCTGTCTTAAAAATGTCTTAATTAACCTTAATTGACCTACTGAGAAATAAAGAATCTGGTTTCATTCATATGTCTCTCACAAAGCACATGTAGTGTGCGTTCAGGGAGGGAGGAATGAAGGGAGGGAATAGATGGATGACTGGCTAAAATTAATGGCATGTAACTAGACTGTTGTCTACTTACAGCCAACAGAGGGTTGACTTTCATAGTTCCTCCTCACTGAGCTCTAAAAGCATAACTCAAATTTCTCTTTACTCCTCAGTTTATTTAGAAACTTTTTATTCCTTCCCCAGTGGCTGATAGACTAGGTGTATATTCAAGAGAGCAGTTAATTTGAAGCAGTGTAGCAATGACCATCACCACCAACTTACTTTCCCCAGAACTTCTTGATGCCCTTGGGGCTCCGTTTGCTCTCTGGTGTCAGAGGAGACTGGGGACTTGACTCAGTCCCCGATGAGGTGGAGGAGAGGTCGTTGGCCATGGCAGTGTCATCCCAACTACTTTCTGTTTCTCCTGAAATCAAAAGAATGAAATGGCAAATGAACAGAGGAAGGGTCATGTCCTTTGTAAACCTCCCTCAAGCCTGGGATATCCTTTAGTAAGAGGTGGGCAGAGTCAGTCCAGTTCTGCCTTTAGGACAGAACTCTACCAAGATTTGAGAGACCAGAAATCAGATAAATTCCAAGTTTTCTTTCTGAGGAGTTATTCAGCTAATATTATAAATATGGGTGAACTATGGTCTTCACAAATTATAAGGGTTTGAGGTACCCATACTTGCTAATTACTCCATCAAGGAGTTTGTTCTCCTTACCCCAAGGGGATAAAAAAAAAAATACTGACAAGGAGGAAGGTCCTGAATGAATGCTGGGGCGGAGGGTGCGAGGGTAGGGAAACAAGGCATTCTCACTCTCCACCTCACCTGGAAAGGGTACAGTACCTAATACAGGGGCACTGACACTCCGGCCACGATCTCCAGTCAACCAAGAAGCAGAGAAGCCACATGAAGAAGCAAGAGAGGCCAAAGTCCAGCCAAACAGAGTTATGGGACATCAAAGAAATAAACAAAAGAGTGTCATCAAGCAAGAGAGAAAAACTCAAACAGAAAGAAAAATAATCCCACATGGGAGGATGGGTGAATGGCGAGTGAGCTCAGCCTACTGGATTAGCAAAGTGAGAAGAGGCCTCACGTGAGAGAGCCCATTGCTCCTGGTGGTGCTTCCTGCCAGCCTGAACTATCAGCACACAGGGAGAAGGGTGCGGAGGGCGCTGAAGACAGCAAGCCACACACAGCTTTTATGTGCGTGCCAGGGCTCACTTGGTGCAGAACAGAATGGCCCTAAGTTGTGATTTGAGTCTACAATCTGGCTTCTGGTCCACAGTCTGAATGCTAGCAGGTCACACTTATTCAAGAGCTTATCTGGTGCTCTTCCAGCTAAGGGCAGAACTGGCCTTCGGGCATCCACTGCATGGGTCAGTTCAGGGAATACCTAAGGCTGAGCAATCTGGGTGAGAAAAGCTGTGCCCAGACAGGAACGTTCCCTCCTGGGCCCCATTAAATCTGCTGCAGCTGGGGAAACATGGCCCATTATGGATGAAGCAGTAATGACTTGTATGGTTTCAGGTCCTAACTACCCAAAGGAAACCTGAAGGCTGACAATCTTGTTCATTTGGCAATAGGCTGGAGGAAGTGCCTGCTCTCATCTGGAAGGTCACATAATCTCATACTGGTAACAGGGAGATTGTAGAGAAAGTGGCAGATAAAGGAGAGAAAAATCAGAATGACAGAGGAAGGTACAGGAACAGGAAGGTGCTGGCTAATAGGGACAGAAAAGGGGAGTGCTAGGGAAATGGAGAGGAAGGGGTTTAAGAAACAGGAAACAGAAGAAGAGAAATATGGGAGTAGAATTATTGCTGCTGGAAAGAAACAGCATGGTACACACTCAGGTCTTCTGGGGCCCTGAAGTGTTCCCTAAGATAAAGGTTTGTTCATGCAGTCATTATCTCTAGAACTGAGGCCCTAACTTGTCGCAGCTACCTGTCTCTGCCATTTTCCGGCTGTGGCTTACAGTGGTTGGTGTGGGGATTCTGTCTGATAACTGGATATGTCAAGGACTCTCCTGCGATCACCAGCCTAGGGGCCTGCATACTCACTCAGTCTCGGCAGGCTGCTTCCTGTGGGGTCAGGCTGGGAGGTGGCAGGGGTAGATTTGGTAGCATCACCATTGGGCGTGGCTCCCAAAACCTTCCCCGGTAAAGCGGGGTGTTTGTGCTCTACCAGGCCATCCTATTGGAATGAGAGAGAAATACCACGTATTAGCTCCCTTTGAATTAAACTTGTAAGAAAATCTTGAGAAACAAAAGAAACTTTCCATCTTCTAAGAGCCATTTCCCCCTTAAGTCAATTCAAAGATCATTTAGGCCAGCCCAGAAAAAAGGACCAGAAGGAAGCTCAAACCTGGGCTGATGACAACTGTCCCTACACGAGCAGTGGAGAAGTCACAAACATTTGGCCTGGTGCCCACAGGCTTAATGAATTAACAGTTGTGAATTATCTTTTGATTTCACCAAATACACTGTAAACTAAAATTCTAATAAAATTTGCATGTTGTTTTATGATCTAAAATCCTGTACGGTATTCCAAAATCTCTGTAGATGTTCACTGAAATGAAAAATAAATAAATTTATATATATATATATATAAAGAGTGTAAGCACAGAAGAGAGTGGTAAAATAATTTATTCCAGGTCACTGTTATTACCATCTATTTCTTCAAAAGGCAGCCAAGACACATGAGAAGACAATGGAAGGAACCAAGAGGAAACCCAAAAGGCTCTCTGAGATCTGTTCAAAGTGAAGAAATGCTGAGAAGCAGAGGAAAGAAAGACGCTCAACTCTATCCAGGAGCATCAGTAGCCTAGCGATGGTCCCAGACTCAATTGTCTGTGGATGTGGAGAAGTGGTGGCTAAGGAGAGTATTCACTTAAATCAAGTCAGGGAAAACCTCAGCAAAGGCTTGACCAAGCACATACATTATATGGCCATGCCTGAGAGAAACAAAAATACTATACCATAGAAGGCAGGATAGAGTTTAAATGTGAAAGGAAGAAAAAGCCTATCATATGGTAATAGCTACTAGAGGCATGAAAATGGGAAGGGCACAGAGGGCTGAACAGAGTTCCCTTCAAACTTAAGGTCACTGTCTGCATGAGATACAGTCTTGGTAGCATGGTGCGGGAGCCCCGGCCACAAAAAGACTTCTAAAGAAACAAGATAACTAACAGAGGATCAAGAATAGAACTGCTTTGGTTGAGAAGAATATAATAGCTCCTAATCCATAAATTTTGGTGAAACACAGTGGAATGCATCTGAGTGAGAATAAGAGACAAGAGAAACAGGGTGAAATTACTGAGGGAAGCAACTGTGGATGGTGTGAAATAGAAAATAGAAATAAAAAAGGCATTATGAAAGACAAAACAGATTTCAAAACTAGGAAGTCAAAACTGGAACAGGAGACTGCAATGACTGAGACAATTTAGCTTAAAAAAAAAAAGTCAAATATCCAGTAACTTTCTGAATTTAATTTGCTTATAAACGTATGTCCTAGAAATAGTCTGAATTCATTTGCCAAGTATTTGACACTAACCCCTGTCATGAGTTCAAAACAGAGAGAGATGAGAAGAGACTAAAATCTCAGACAATTCTGAAAGAATTTGTGGGTAAAGTAGAAATAATGGAACCTTGAGATGAGACTGAGGTTGTGAAGTTCATGACGACACAGGAGGCAGAAGCAGGATGTGATTAGTAGTGTGGCCAGAACCAACAGTTCCCCAGATGGTTCTCTAGACACTGGCTGCTCCGTAATCACTCGAGGCACACACAACAACAACAAAGTTCTAGGCTCCACTCTGGCCCCACAGAATCAGCCAGTCTGGGAGAGAACCCAGTGGTCTGTATTGAAACAGGTCCTTCAGATTATTCTGATTCACAGTCACACTTGAGAAAAAATGGTTGTTGGCGAGAAGTATCCAAAAGGTTCAGAGAAGGGGAAAGTGTAGCTTCCAGACTCCATATTAAACAAGGAATCTGGGGAAGAGCTCTCAAAAACAGATCTCTATGTCACATGCTGTCCCTTGTCATAGCAGAGACAGCCAAGAACATTGATGCAGTATGGCCTTGAGAACTCCCTCAGATGTAAAGAGAATCCATACATAAGTGAGGGATTAGGCTTCAAAAGGCAGCCAAGACACATGAGAAGACAACGGAAGGAGCCAAGGAAACCCAAAAGGGCTCTCTGAGATCTGTTCAAAGTGAAGAAATGCTGAGAAGCAGAGGAAAGAAAGAAGCTCAACTCTATCCAGTTTGGTTTCTGCTGCCTCCAAGAATAACCTTGTTATGAGAGGTTGGAAAAAGAGCACCAAGGAACTGATTACTAGTTGCTTCAAAACAGAAACAAAGGCAGCATTCCAGAGTGGAAAATCCCCAGGTTTTGAGTCAGATCAACTTGGGCATAACTCCCTAACAAGCCTGAGTCTCTGTTCCATCCTTTCTAAGTAGAGAATAGCCATTCCTGCTTCAGGATTGCAGTGAAGCAATATACACCCCTGGCCCACCACACAGTGGATAACAGAGGCACAGAAAATATCAGAGTAAGAGGAAGACCTCAAAAAGCAGTATGTCTGTTTATGCTACAGCATGAAAGGACAGAAAAGTCCCTTACATAGACGGAGAGGTGCACAAAGAATCTTTCTCTTACACAGATGCTAAAGAAGGGCAGACACACCCATTCTATCATATTTATATGAAAACAGAAAAGGTTCATCCCAGGCAGAAGTCAGAATGTCATGAGGTCAAATATATCCTACAAATGTGAAGGCAGAGGACACTGAGAAGGGACTGCCTCTGACTTCACAATATATTTCCCCTATAATGTTATAAATGATGGCTGGGTATAGCTAAAGTTATAATTATGCTAATCTTTAGTGTATCAGGGACTCAGAATTTGAGCACCAGTCTGGGAAATTTGACATTAAACTTCTGAAGGAGGAATCCGTTTGATCAATTTTTTAATAATACAATTTGTTCATTAAAAGGAGGACTCAGTGCAATCCTTTGATTTTAACCATGGTTTTGTCAGCACAGAAAGGATTAGCACAATCATTAAGGAGGTGTTATAATCACAACCAATTCTCCTAGTGATTAGGGCTAGATTGCTTTACTAGAGACTAATTTCTGTATTTGTAAAGTGAAGGTGATAATAATACATTCTTCCCTGTAATCAATAGCAAAAGCAAATTGTACAACTGGGTGCACACAAAAATAGAATGAAAGGAGGAAGCTTTGTCTTTCTTCTCGCCTTCTTTCCCTTAATAATAAAAATACTTTAAAGTTACAAAAACTTTATCTCACTAAATAAAAACACCCTAGCAAACAGTACAACCACAACAAGTGATGGAATTATGCTTCATGTACCTTAGGCTCTATGACAGGAGAGGGTTGGTTCCCATCAACACACTATGGAGTGGCAAGAAGGGTATAATTATGTGGAGGAAAGAAGAGAGACCCATGTTAGTCACAAACAACAAAATCTCAAGACCACTTGCCTGCTTAAATTCAAAAGGCTCATTCTGTCCCTTCACCCATATTTATGTCAGGTAATCACCACTCATGGTAGAAAACACAGGCAACCCACAGGCAGATATCCTGGGCAGAATGCCAGCAATCTGATCAGAGAACCAAGAGACACATGACCAAGGAATTAAAGACAGTGAATGGGTCCCACTCTCCTGTAGGCTCCAGTCTTTAGTATTCTCTGTTGTGTCACTAGAGAGGCTGGCCGGCTTCTGGAGAACAAGAGGCTTTCAGTGGAGGATCACTGAATGTACCCTATCAGGGAAAGATTCTTTCATCTTCAATAAGTGAGCTCGAGTCCAGGACTCTCCTCTTTAGCATGGGGTCACCACATGATTGAGGGTCATCATTTTCCTAATAGCTTTCATGACTCTGCCAATAGGCTTCTTTCTAATCTTCTGAATATCCCCCAACCTACTGCTAAGATCATCTCTTTTATCCATAATACTGCCTTGTTCAAAACTTTTGTAATGTTCCCACTATCTCTGAGATTATTAAAAGTCAAAGTCACTGCTGTCAAGTTGGAACTGACTCATGCCTGACCTCCAGTGTGTTTGCAGAGACTATAAATCACTCAGGAGGAGATTTCCCACATTTCTCCCAGAGACTGGCTCGTGGCTTTGAAATTCGTTTAGGCTAGAAGCATAGCTCTCTACAGACTAAGCTACCAGAGCTAGTTCTTTCTAGTACAGAGCCAGTATCCAAATCATCTCTTATTTGATCTAACTTATGGCTCCGACATAACCTCCTCCTGCTTCCCAACATTTCCCAAAACCTGCCTGGCCCAACTCCAATTCTGATCACCAGTCTTTCCTTACTTGTCCTTCCTCTGTTTTGTTGAGTCAGAACCGACTATCACTGACTCTCCGGCGGGTTTTCAGAGGCAGTTAATCCCACGAGAGGAGACTGCTCATCCTTCTCCTATGGAGCAACTGGTGACCTCAAACTGTGTGCCTTCATGATTGCAGCACAGCTTTTTGCCACTGGGCCACCAGAGTTCCCTTGTCCTTCCTCTAGGAGACCTTAACTGATAGCTGACAAGTATTTTAAAAAAGATCTTTTAAGTCCTACCTCTCTGGTACCTCTATTAAAGTCTGATTAAAAAAGACTAAGACCTCATCTATATATTCCAGGGCTGAGCAGGGTACAAAGAAGTCACTAAACAATCACTGGGTATAAGTTAATATTAGCTGACCTTTCCCACAGATACACTTCTCAAGTCTTCCAAACTACAGGAAAGTTTCTTCTGAGCCCTTGAAAAAAAAATAAATGAAAGTTTACAAAGAAATAGCTACTCAAAAATGAGGTATATTCACACAGAGAGCATTTTAAATCAGATCAGGGAAAAACAGTCATCTTCAAGTAATAACCAATCTTTCAAAGGTGAGACTTCCCCACTCTGGCAGATAACCTGGTCATCGCTTAAGGGCATCATCACTAAGGTTATAAATTAAGGGGATGGCATGAAGGGCAACATTTAAATCCAAATTAAAAGTCCTGAGCATTTCTCAAAAAGCAAAAATATACTCAATTGTAATGTGTTAAAACGACAATTATGTAATTATAAAAAAAGACCAGTGTGCACAGTGTCAAAAGGAAAGACAATGCACATTGTCTGTGGATCTCAAGGTTAAGAGTTGGTGTACCGAAGATCTGTACATCAATGTTCATAGCAGTATTATATACAATCACAAGAACATGGAAACAGCTCAAATGTCCATCATCAAACCAATAGACTGAGTAATTGTGGTGCATTAACACAATGAAATACTATGCAGCACTCAGGAGCAACAATTTTTAAAATACTCTATCATGGGAGAGGCTAGAGAGCATTTTCTGAGTGAAATAATTCAGTGTCATAAAGACAAACACTACATAAGACCATTATTGTAAAAACAGAAGGATAACAGTAAAATGCATATAAATGTCCAAAGAGGGAAGGGAGGGGACAAGGAGGGTGTAGGTAGGAAGGAAAGGAAATCATGGGGTCACAGAGTTGGGGACCTGAAAAGATTGGGTAATAGTGGGCATAGATCAATGATGATTAATTTTATAAGACACAATGTATGGGGATGATCTTATGAAACACAGTGTGAATAAATGTGTGAAATATGATCTATATTAATGAAAAAAATTAATAAGGGCAGCATCTCACTTTCAAGTATACAAAAAAGAGTTGTAGTGTATCATCAAGTCAGAATCAATCCATGGCTGACCCTCTAGCAGGTTTTCAGAGGTAGTAAATCTCAGGGGAAGAGACCGCCCATCTTTCTCCCATCTCATGGAACGGCTGGTAGAACTGAACTACATGTCTTTGAGTTGGTAGCCTAACTCCTTACCACTAAGCCACCTGGCCACTATCGCTCCAAACTATTACCTACTAGGATCCCCAACCCTCTTTCACTGATTTTATGTATCCTGAGAAGTCTGAGGTTATTCCAGAGAGAAGGACACCAGCTGGACAGAGAAGAGCAGCATTGTGAGTGGCCACAAGGCTTTCAGTCTCTTTGACAATCATTAGTTCTTAACTGGAATGAATAAAGCACCTGTTTATTTGTGGTTCTGGCCAGTGTAAGTGAGCTCCTCAGGTTGACATTTCAAGTTTTCTCTAAGGCTAAAGGCTCAGGGGAACAACAGGTCTCTATGAGCCACAGAAAGTAGTCTTTAGAGTGTAGGCCAAGTTATTTGAGAGTCTAGGCCCAAATACATAGAGACTCTGATCACTTAGCACCATTATGAAAATGTTTTATGTTTTGTGGCTATCTTCCTCAGACAACCTGCTCTTGGTGGTAAAGGTACCATATATCTCCTTCATGAAGTCCACTTGGTAATATGTTCTGAAAAAGCTGACACAGAAAATTAAAGCAGTTTTGTTTTAGTGTGACCTAGACAGACAGGACCTTATATAGTCCAGCTCACTTTTATGTGAAAGTTCCTCACGGCACTTAGAACAAGTTCTCTGTCACCGGAAATGGTCCTCCCTGAAGAGCATGAAGTGCAGAAAGGTCATTCTACATAGACTGAGGAAATGACAGATACGCATCCTACCTCTGAGAAGCTACTGGAGAATGGATACACAGAGAATGAGCTGTAGACACCTCTTCTCTGAGGTTCCTGACCAGGTGCTGTCTCAGTAACAATGACTCTCAACCCTTGGAAAGGGAAGCTCTAAACTAAGAGATATAGGACTGGAGCATAACCATTCCATGGTTTTGGCCTCCTTGTGGCACTGCCAAGACCTAGAGCCCCAATAAAAAGGAGAGATTTGCTCAGGGGATGTTGCCCACGATCATTGGGCAAGGCCAGTTACATCTACCCTGGGATCCTCAAGAAGGCTCCAAGAACACAGCAACTCCAGGGAAGTGCTCAGAGCACTTACCTTGTTTCCAGTGATTTCTGTGGCAGTGGTGGTGGTCCTACTGTGAGAGGGCTACATCTTGAAGGCATCTGTACCACAAACAGAAGAGTTACCATAAAGGACATTTGATGTTTGGGAGCAAATCTATCATCCTCTCACCTTCCTGAACTTTTTCTCTGAGGGAGTTCTATTTCCTTCCCTAGACAAGAGTGGTTGCTATGTCATTGTGGATACTTTGCTCTTTCAAGATGTCAAGAGGTTGGCATAGTGATCTAGCTGGGCAAATGCACTTCTTCATCCTGGGTCCAATTCTTAACAAAAGCAGGGTGCTGGCCAGACATGGGTCCTCACAGCTTTCACTGCTCCTGCCCTTACTGAGCTTAGTTTTTCAGCTTTTCCTTTCATTCAGTGATTCATCACACACCCTCCTCAAAACATTCCATTTGGTTTAGGTTGTTGTTGTTAAAAGCCATCAAGTCAAGTATGACTCATAGCAACTCTATGAACAGCAGATCTGAACCTTGTCCTGTCATATGCCATCCTCAATATTTCTGACAAAATAACAATATGCAGCAGCCCACTGCTGCAGTCGCTGTGTCAATCCATCTGGTTGACGGCCTTTTTTCTCTTTCACCAATCCTCCACCTTTCCAAACATAGCCTCTTCTAACAACATTAATAGAAACACTTAGAACATTAGCAAAACCTGCTTACTGTCAGATATGAAGCAAGCACTCCCCACATCTGGAGGCAGGTAAGTAAATTAGGATAAAAGAACAAAGTAATATATCTTCATAGCAGCAAGATCCATAAAATAATACAGGACTGGATGAGAAGAAGTGACTCCCTCTCTCTGGTAGAAGGTATCAGAATGGAGATCATTTTAGTTGAGTCTTGAGAAATGAGAAAGGGGTTCACCAGAAAGGCAAGAAAGGAAAGAGGATGAGAGGTAAAAGGAACATCAACAAATTATGGAGTCAAAAAGTACAGTCCTGTGTCTTCAGCATTGCATGGACTGAAATTATGGCCTCTTTTCTGTAGAGCTTGTATCTTTTTGCTCTATGGAAAGAAGAACACTGGTGAAACAGTATAATCGCAGAAGCAGGAGTGGCATCCACTTCCTAAACAACATGCCTCTGGAACCTCTGTGAACTTTGATAAATGACAATAGTTATAGAAAGGCTTCAGGCCTTTCTTGTTGCTATGAGTCGTGCTTGACTTGACGGCAATCAACAACAACAACAACACAACAACGGACTTCATGAGTCCAATAGGCCTGGATGAGGTTCAAGTGTGAGGTCTGCTAAACTACTTGTCATGTTACCTAGAGAAAATCATCCACCCTCTCTGACCCCCAGCTTTATCACAGTAAAATCGCTCCACAGGCAGTGCTGTAAAGAGCAGGGTAATAAACCAAGCACATTGCTTAACACAGTGACCACTCCGGGGCATTGAGCAAATGTTAATGGCAGAAGTCTAGAGTGCTTGCTCCAACTTGATATCTGGGTCACGGGGTAACGTATTTGTTATTGTTGTTAGGCACGTCTGAGTCTGCTCTGATCATAGTGACGCTTTGTAGAGTGGAAAGAAACACTGCCCAATCCTGTGCCTACTTCACAATCACTGCTTGAGTTCACTGTGGCAGACACTGTGTCACATTTGCTCTTATCTTAATTAAAAGAGTTAGCTTGAACCGCTAAGATCTTTTCCAGTTTGACTCTATTGAAATTTTCAAAATCTTAAGCCCTCGAATAAAACTGTTCCTTCACCTGAGGTCTGTATCCATAATTTTGTTTGTTTAGCCTAAACCCACACACATATATAATATATACATATACATATACATATACATTCACTCACATTGTGAGAGCAGGTTATAAAACAAAGCATGGGGCTTAGGATGGGGCAGAGAAGAAAAACTGTTGGATAGTTAGAAGAGCTGCAGACAATGTCTCTATAAGGAATTTATCATATTATAAGTTGCTATTGCCCAAAATGAATAAGAGTCATTTAACCAACAAATATTTGTTGAATTCAACTGGGTATCAGACATTACAGATCCTAACGGAATAATGGTTTCACCCTGAGAAAACACTGGGTGGTCCAAGAAGTTGGGGGTGAAAGACTGAAGGTTTGAGTTTATCTAGAGGGGTCTTGGAAGAAAGGTAGGATTTGCTTCCAAAAACAACAGTTACTGAAAACAGAATAAAGTTCTACACTGATACATGTCAAATTGGCAAAGAATTAGAGAGGACTCGCAAGCAACTGGTTTACTGGCTGGAGAAACGATGGTAAAGAAAATAAACAATACTTTTGGTCTATACTTATCTTCCAGAGACAGGAGACAAAAATTTATAAAGAAGCCAATTAAAGTGTTTCTATTTTCCTCTATCTCATTATGCCCAGGCTGTTCTTCCTAATCAGACCGAGGACTTAACTTGGGCCCCTTGCTCTCCTTTGTCTTCTTTCTCCCCGAGGCTTTGGGAATCACTCCAACGATCCATTGTTTTAACTCTTAAAATGAGTAGCCTGACTTGTAGCCACCTGACTTGGTCCTCCCTGCAGCCCAGGTCAAGCTCTAAGAGTCTGCTGAAAACACAGTACCTCTGATTTAAATAATTCTTCAGGTCCTTTATTTGTAGTATTCCACTTTCTGAAACTTCCATCCAGTTCTTCCTCATTGACAGAGAGAGTCCTTTCTGATGGTCCTAGAAGCATAATTTAGTAGGCACAATCATTCCTGATTTGTTCAGAAACATAACTGTACCAGAAAAATCCCAAAATTGCATCCTTTTCATTAGAGTCACTAAGCTATAGATAAAGGAACATAAGGGTCTGCTCTCAAGAGTCTTTAGGGTATCTAAGTAAATGCTGTTTGTTGTAAAATTTGTTTGTATCTTTGTTTTATAGGAGACAGAACATGGGAATACAGGGTAATTGTTAAAAGCAGGGACTTTGTAAGTTTAATAGACCTAGTATTCAAGTGTGAGGTCTGCCAAACTTCTTGTCATGGGACCTAGAAAATGACTTGCCCTCTCTGAGCCCCAGCTTGATCACAATAAAGATCCACATGAACTATTAGGAAGGCATTAGCTACCTCCAATATTACTGCATGGCCACAGGCAATCAACATCTTGGAGCGATTTTCTACCTCTGCCAAGATCCCAAAAGAGAAAAGAAGGCTGCTAAGTGTGTACTTGGGCTGGCAGAGGTCGTGGGCGGCGCCATAACCCCAGCCGGAGTCTGTCATCTTCCCAGAGGATGAGCCAGAACCAGAGGTTCCAGACTATCCTCAAAGCAGCCATCCTCCCTGATAAAGCTGCTTATTTAGGATCTTTGATGAGAGCGCTGATCAATGGCATGAACAACTAGGCTGGTGCCTTGTTTGCCATATGCACTACTGTGCCCATAAGCACATCAGTGTTGCCTATGTGTCGTGTCCACTCTAACCAGCAAATATGAAATACAGAGTTTTTCTTGTGCTGTGAGTTCCTAAAACAACTGACACCCAGTGTTCCTAGGAAGCCTCCCTATGTGTCCTTTGTGTTGATGGGTGTGAGGTGGCGTGAAGAGAGGTGGAGTGTTTTTAGATTTTCTAGGAGATAAACATGGTGTGATCCCCAATGAGGGCAATGGATTGATTTTTACTGCACATTGAATGCTATTTATTGCCTCTATGGGGTATTCTTAGAACTTCTAGGAGTTTGACATTCAAATTCTGAAATACCTCCTAAAAGGCTGAAAACATTATTTCCTTTGATATGGATAGTTCCAGGCAGCTGTGACTTGACTGTCATCTGATATAATTTCTAGAAAATCATTAGCTGCCAATTTCTTACCATCTATGACCATCTAAACTGTCTGATCTTCCAGGAGGGGATCTTCCTTTAAATGGAGGTAAAAAATCTCCTGGCAGAACGGCCCTGGGGTTTAACACAGCAGATAGGATATCCTTTCGAGAAAGCTCTAGGGTCCCCACTTGCTTTTTTTTTTTAAATTTATTTATTATTCATTTCAATGAACATCTACAGAGATTTTGGAATTCCATTCATTCATTGTTGCGCCCACTTGCTTTTACCTTGAGTTGCCATGACGATCTCGTTCACCCTACGGTACTGATTTAACAGCCCCATCAGCTCTTCTATCCGACGGTCCTGCCACAGTGCAAGAGCAGATTTAGATGTAAGCACCATCATACCAGCGGTACCTCAGATAATTCCATTTTAGGACCAAGGGTACATGCTGGGACACTGAGAAGAAACTCTGAATGAATCCAAAGGGAAAGATTCCATCCAGGCCCTTTCCCATAGAGCCTGGATTCTCAGTGGCTGCCTCATAGCAGCTCTAGGAATTGATGCTTCGACCTGAACGCTATAAATTCAATCTCTATCCAAAAGTTTAAAAAAAAATTTCCTCCTTGACATGGCCTTTTGTAGAGCCTAAATGCTTCCAGGCACATGACTCACTGTCTCCCTCTCCTCCTGAGGAAGCCATGGAAATCTGCCTCCTGATCCAAGTGCTGCCCTTTGGAGTTACACAAGATACACTAAAATAAAGCTGTTGTTTTAATTTATGGCCATCATTCTCACTTGTTCTTAGGGTGCTTGAGATTCTTTATATAACTGAGGCAATTTCCAGAAGGGATAATTTCTTTCTAGGCAAAGGCTGAGGGTGTAGGAAGACCATATTGGTTCTGAACTTAGGCAAACCTAACTTTGGTTCTGCTATATGCCTGACTCTGCTATATGCCTGACCTTGTGCAAAAGTAGTTAAGCACTTGGAGTCTCAGTTTCCTTATTTTTAAAGTATAAACTCTCTGAGATTTATAAAATATAAACCGTAAGAGATGATCTGCACCTATAAACAACAGCTAGTCTATGATTATGTAGGAATGCAACGTAGAGAATCTAGGAAGACAGGATAAACTGAGGCATTGCATGGTGCCTACTGTCTCTCTGGAGGTTCTATCACCAGATAATGCACATAGGGTTTAGAACTGCTCTTAACTTTTGCTAGGAGTCTAAGCAGTAGCTATATTAGCTACTATATTAGCCACATACTAGTATTCTTCCCCATAGCAGCACGGCCATGCAGGATGTTAATATGCTTGCAGGAGATTTCACTGAGGCATAGTTCCAAAGTCTCAAAACCAGTAACAACAGGTGGCCAAGGCCACGTCTCTAGGATGCTGTTTTCTTGACACATCCCTGAGTCAGTGGCCTTGTTCAGAAGATCAGGGACCAGCAGGGAGCAAACAGAGGCAGAAAAAGGTGAACAAAAATAGTGCCTCTCAATGAAATCTTACCTTATCTTCATTTGCAACAAGCAAAGTTTCCATTCCCATTTTCAGACGCTGAATTTCTTGGTCTAAAAAATATATATAGGTTTAGAACAAATTTAAAGAGCTATCTTCACAGCCTAAGGTGTTCCTTAAGTGTAAACATGAGAATTTCCATGTGAACAAATTATACACAAGGCTCCTTTATTTCTTCAAAGAGCCCAGGGTGTCTGGCATAGAGTATCATTAAATGTTTGTCAAACTACCAAGTGAATAAACCTTTATTTCAGTTTTGGTTTATAAACATGTGTAAGAAAACCAAACTACCATTTACACAAAGGCGGCACATAAAGACCCAAAAAATGTTTTACAACCAACATGTCATTTCACATGAATGCAACAACATACCCTTTATAATTTGAACAAGCATGTAACTGGTTTTAGAGAAAATCATACGTCTTATGGGTTGCAGCAAGGTGTAGTTAAGAGAAGAAACCAAGTCTTACAGTTAGAAAAGTGACTATGAGGGCACTGTTAGGCACTTGAATGAATTTAAAATGGTGTCAGCTTTAATAGCCAAAACTTACTTAGATACAGCTAGAAATATACCAAAAACTCTCCAGACAAGAGAAAACAATTTGTAAATAATAGAATGACATCATTTCCCAATGGGCCAAAGCATCTCTAGCCACTGATGCTCAGCTGATGGTCTCCTCTCCCTCTGGACCCAACAAGGTCTCTCTTGATTATTTATTAAACTGACCTGGAGAATCAAGTCAAAGGCAGAGTATCATGCCTGAGGGAGCCAGAGGTTCTACTGCCAGAAACTCAGAAGTCTAGGAACTGGCACCAATGTGGATTTTCCAAACAGTTACCAATTCCAAATGAGTTTAGTCATACAAGGAATAAAGATGCCTTTTTAAGCCAATAAAAGAAACAGAAGAAATAGAAGAAACAAGGGAACCGAAGAATATGCATCACATGTTCAGCATGTTCACTCACATCCAACAATGATCGAGGCAGTGGGTCTTGGGTGATGAATTGTAAGGATTCATTTGTAGACTGAGAGGAAAGAGTCATGGCAATGTTTCCACAACAGAGCCCTGCCTGTTAGGCATACGCTTACCTGTGCATGAGCACATGTGTGTGTGCGTGCGCGCACACACAGACACACACACACACACACACACACACACACACACTTACCTGCACATCAGCACACTTAGTGACAGCATAGTCACATTCATTCTTTCAGACACATATGCACACTACCCCACTGATGAGGGATGGAGCAGGGGCAACTGCACTCCATCAAGCCAGTTACCTCTCTCTGTATTGTCACTGTGGGCTGTGGTCCGGGAGAGCTGGCTGTGCAGACGCTCAATTTCTGCATCCTTTAGGGCCACCTGTTCCTGCAGCTGGGCTACCTCAGCCTGAAATAGCAACAGAGAATCCCTACATGGTCAGAGGAATTACCAAACTGTGATAGGCCCAGAGTTCTAAAATGGGTTAGGAAGTTAACAAAGATGCCAGAGACCTCACTGCCCTCCCTAGAGAGTGGAGCCCTGCTGAACGCACTCACGCTTCCTGATGATCCCCACACCACTTGAACCTTCTGTCAACCTGCTCCTTCATCCACATCCCTCCTACCTAATCAGGAACTTTCTCTATGCTGTTCTTTGAGGCTCATGCACCTCTAAAACCTGAAGAACTGGGATTGTTCCTCAGTTCCTAAAATGGGAATGCTGTTTAGAAGTGGACATTCTCATTTTAGAAGTGTCTTCCTTCTCTCAAGTATTCATGCAGTAGCATGCATGTATACTCTGATAACAATATTCACTCATCTTTTATCTTTCTATTTCATGCAGGCAATACAGAAGAACTCAAATCACTACAGGTGCAGAGAGAGGGAACCAAGACCCAACATGCAGAGATGGTGTTTCAACTCTCTGCAAATACTGACCCTCATAAAACCTGAACCACACCCCAGTGTTGCTGAACTGGAATATGAATCATCTTTAGGGCCTTAGACGCCTTTAGCAGAAAATGTAAGAGTTTTAAAAAAAAAGCAATGTGGGTTTTTACTGGAAGGAATCAGAATGATGAAGGAGGGAGGGGAAGCATGCATTTGTGGAACAACTTAAGCTCAGGATCTGAATCTCTGAGCCAGTTTCTTTACTCAGAAAATGGATATGAAAAGATAGTAAGATATACCTCACTAAGTTGTTTTATGGATCAAATAATAAAAAAAAAAAGTGAGTAAAGGGCTTGTTTGGAACTTTTTTGTGTGTGGGAGGTGCTTAACACCTGGTAGTTATTAAACACCCCTTGGCATTTCAAAGGTCTACATGAGCACAGGTAATTTTAAAAGGGGGGGAAAGTGACTGTTTTAAACAGAGGGTACTGTGTACACCTTCAAAGGTTTTACCGAGATAGAACTTGCCTGAGTGGAGTATCATGAGCACAGAGTCTAAGCTATTTGAGACAGTATTAGGATGACTGACTTTGAGGCAAGTACATACATAGTCAGATACAAACAGACCAGTAAATGAATAGATCTGGATGAGCTAGGGATGTTAAAAATAGCTTAAAATCTTGGAGACACTCTTTAAACTTTCCTGCCTCAGTTTTGTTTTCTGTAAAACAGAATGTAATGGACCTGTCTCTCGTACCATTATGAGGACCAGATGAGTTAATGTTTGCGAAGTACTTACACTATTATATAAAGCTATACATCACTTATGAGAAAGAAAAAAAAAGATTCAATTAAATTATACAAAGATAATTAACCAACTCTAAAGAAGGATAATTAACCAATTTTTTGTATGGACGAAATATTTATACCTTATATACTAGAACAAATTTTCAGCTAGACTACAGAACTAAGTAATATGAAGAAAAACAAAGCTAAAAGAAAATTCAAGTCAAGGTTTATACAAACTCAGTTGGAAAGCATACAGGTAGATTTAATCATATAAAAGCACAAAGATAAATAAATAAGAAAGGTATTTATAAGAAATACAAAAGTCTGTGATCTTAATATTTAATAAACAAAACAGATGACTAAGAACTAAACAGAAAACTAAGCAAAAAATAAAGATGAACACACAATTCAGAAGGAGAAATAAAGGGATAAAGGTTCACATTTGTCAATAGTCAGAAAAATGGAAATTAAAATATATTGATAATGTCTTTCCCCAGCTATAAGTTAAGCATGTTTTCCCCCTGAAAAATGCTGCTGGTAATGGCTCAAAGATAATGCAAGTACACTCAGTGGAATCCAAACACAAACCCACTGCCATCAAGACAATTCCTAGGGCTTCTGAGTCTTTACATCTTTATGGGAGGAGATGGACAATCTTTCTCCTGTAGAGCACCTAGTGGATTAGTAGTCAAACACACATTATGCTGTCAGATGCCTCATATTCACTATGCAGAAACAAAATTCTCCAGAAAATAGTATAACATGACTCAGAGGAATTAAAAACAGTCATAAGTTTTGATCAATTACTTCTACTTCTGGGAATCAATTCTAAAGAAATAACCTAATGCAAGAGCGCTAAAGAACAACAGTGTCAGTCTGGAGACTAAGGTGCACCTGATCTTCACAATTACTTGCTATCTATCAGAAAACTGGACAGTGACTAGGGATGACAGAAGGGGAATTGATGCCTTTGAACTGTGGTGCTGGAGAAGAGTCTTGAATATATCATGGACTGAGAGGAGAACAAACAGGTTTGTCCTGGAGAAGGTGAAATCAGGCTGCTCCATGGAGGCAAGGATTCTGAAGCAACATCTAACATATTCTGGGCATGTTGCCAGGAGGGACCAGTCCTTGGAGAGGAATATCATGCTTGGGAGGGTGGAGGGACAATACAAGAGAGGAAGACTCTAGATGAGATGGATTGACTAATGGGGGAAGGATGTGTCAGAGACAATGCAGTTGGCTCAGGATAGAGCAGGGTTCAGAGCTGTTGTATAAAGGATTGCTATGAGTTGCAAGTGACTTGATGGCACTTAAAAACAACAAGAGAGAAAAACACAACCAAACCATCTCCAAGTATAAAAATTGTCACTAAAACATCCACTATAATACTGACAATCAATGAGGTGAGACAGATTAACCTCAGTATTCACCTAGAAGGGATGGTTAAGAATCCTATTTACATTTAAAAGCAGAGTATTCAACAGATTAACATCATGGTCACATAGTTTTTCTATTAATGTAAAAAAATCACTATATAAATGTAAAAGAAAAATAAACATGCTACAAAATTATAGGTGTATTATCAACAGCAGAAATTCAGAGAAAAAGAGAAATCCAGAAATAAAAAGTATAATATCCAGGCAAAATATATTAACAATGGTAGCTCTCAGTGGTATATAAGTGATTTTTATTTTTATTTTTGTATGGTTTGAAGAAAATGGTATATAACAGGTATGCATTGTTTTCCTCCTCATTAAACATTAAGTTACAAGAAAAAGAAAATCCAAGGTAAAAATATATATAAATAGCTTAAAAGTTATGAGTCACAAGGGATTTTAGAAATACTGATGTTGTTGTTGTTATGTGCCATCAAGTCTTGCGACTCATAGAGACCCTATTTACAAGAGGCCTAAATGCCATTCTATCCTGTGCCAACCTCACCGTCTCAAACACACTCATTCCCATCACCCCAATCACAGAATCAATCCATCTCAACGAGGGTCTTCCTCTCCTGCGCCGTCCCTCCACTCTCCCAAACATGATGTCCCTTTCCAAGGACCAGTCTCTCCTTGCAACATGTTCAAAGTATGTCAGACGAAGCTTCAGAATCCTTGACTCCAAGGAGCATTCCGGTTTCACCCTCCCCAGGACCTTTTTGTTTTCCTAGCAGTTCATGGTATATTCAACACTCTTCTGCAGCACCACAGCTCACACACACCAATTATCTTTCTATCCCTATTCACTGTCCAACTCTCCGATGCATAGCACGCAATTGTGAAGACTATAGCCTGGATCAGGTGCACCTTAGTCTCCAGCCTGATGTCGTTGCTCTTCCATACTCCTGACAGGTTCCTCACAGCTGACTTTCCAGTGCAATTTGTCTCTTGTTTTCCTGGCTGCTGTTACCAAGAGTGTTGACTGTGGAGCCAAGTAAACTAAAACTGTTAACTATCTCAATCTCTTCACCATCCATATTGATGCTGCCAATTGGCCTAGTGGTGAGGATCTTTGTTTTCTTGACGTTGAGCTTCAATCCAGATTGAAGGCTGCAGTCCTTGACCTTCTGTAGCAAGCCCCTCAGGTCCTCCTCAGTTTCAGCAAGCAGGGTTGTGTAATCCGCATAATGCAGGTTGTTGATGACTTTTCCATCAATCTTGATGCCATATTCCTCCTCGTAAAGCCCAGCGTCTCGGATGATCTGTTCTGCATACAGAGTGAAAAAGTATGGAGACAAAATACATCCCTGACGGACCCCTTCCTTGATTTTGAACCATGTAGTGTCTCCTTGCCCTGTTCTGACGACTGCCTCTTGGTCCAAGTATAGGTTTCACATGAGCACAATCAAATATTCTGGGATTCCCATTCTTCTCAAATTAGCCATAGCTTGTTGTGATCCACAGAGTCAAAAGCCTTTGCATAGTCGATGAAGCACAGATAGACATTCTTCTGGTATTCTTTGCTTTCTGCCAAGATCCACCTAACATTAGCTATAATATCCTGATAAGATAAAATACTGATAAGAAGTGAAAATTAAAAAAGTTTCTCTGAGGCTATTATCCTGAGATACTCTTCAAACCTTAAACCAAAACAATTCCCTAAAGTCATCATATAGCTAATTAATAAAATAACTAAAAAATACTGAGTATCATCTACAAGCACTGTGCTCCTTTACAAAAACACACGATATGAGACCAAAAGGCCAACAGCTACTTTCAAAAAAAAGATCAGGATGTAAGGGAGTAGGGAAACTAGATTAACGGAAACGAAACAACCAAAATATAAGAACACTTTGTGAAGAATGCTATGAAAATCACTGAACAACTTGGGTTGAACTTTTAAATGGGAACAAACTGCTCTATAAACCGTCAGTGAAAACAACTATTTTAAAAGGAAAATAGTGTCTGACAAGACTCTAGTAGGTATGAACAATTCTCCAAAATTATTAGAGTTTTCTTTTTTTGCTCCAAACGAAGACATACACACAAACACACACACAAATCTATATTTTAATACATTTACCAGTGTTTAAATGATAATTCAATATCTTAAAACACATATGCAGGGCAAAAATTAAATCAATTTGTGGGCTGAATTAATCCATTAATTTTACTCTCTGTATTTTAATTATTAGAGAAAAGAAGCAAAGAAAAAGAATTTACTGCACAAAAAGATCTATTCTTCATGTTCTCTCAGACAGAAAACTTTACAATTTCTAATAAAAATATTATTTAGTTGAAAATATCCACAGTATATGTTACTTACAGGAATACATTCATTGCTAAAAATTTGGCAAGCTTATTTTGCAAAGATAAATGACAATTAGAGAGACTGCTGAGTTGAAAGGATGTTCCCTATATGATGTGAGTGCTCACTGCCTTTAAGTATGTCACTTAGTCACTATTTATCTGCTCCTTCACCGGATCTCACTCAGCAGTCTCTAGGCTTCCACTTCAGCTGGGCACGGCGGCACAGAACAAGAGAAGATGACTCCACCACCCATTCACGATCTCCTATCAGGACAAATTTTGCACTTCTGAACTTGAGCAACTAAAACACTCTTATCCAAATGCAAATCCTCCCTAAGCATGCCAATACCTCTGCCATAAGTATCAACACTGTCTCTTACCTTAGTGGCCTTCAACTTCCATTCATACTGATTCCGCTCAGTTTCCAACTCTTCCACTTTGATTTTGAGGTGCCTGAGTTCTTGCAGTAACTCCTACATGGACAAGAAAGGAAGACAAAGATAAATGGTTAAAAAGTAGGAAGTGCCCTCGGTCTACAAACCTAGGTAAGCTCATGCACAGAGGATGCCAAGGGCAGAGCAACAGCTTCAATTTCCACAGTGATTTTAATCCACAAACATGGTTCTTGTTTCAGGAAGAGCTGTGTGGCCATTTGAAAATGAAACCTCTTAGAACTCTGCTCATCATAGAGAGAGATACATTCTCTTGTATTTAGCACCCTCTTGCCTGTTACTTTTCTCTGAGCGTCAAACTGACTGCAGAGTGTGGGCATGTTATAAACAGAGAGATAAGGGGTGAGGCCAGTAGGTTATGAGAAGAAGTAGACAAAAGACGGCTAAACCATGTGACTTAGACAAAATAGCAAAATGCTGGCCGTTCTAAGGATGAGGGAAATCAGAGGAGATGGTGATCCTGGAAGAAATCATGCTCCCAGAAGGCTTCACAGAGGAAGTGACATTCAAATGAGAGAAATGAAACTTTATCAGAGTAAAAGCTGTCAAGTGTAGAGGTCAGAAATGGGTACTCAGTTGAGAAAACTAATTTGAAGAAAGAAGACATCCAGAGAGACAGAAGAAAGAGAGGAAGAGAGAGGGCAAAAAAGTCAATAATCTATTGGCCTAGCACAGAGGATGAGTGTAGATAAGTGATGAGAGATGAGGTGGGAGCTCTATTGTGAAGGCATTCAGATAAGAAAATAAGGAGTTCTGTTATCACTCTTTAGATAACAGGAAGTCAATGAATAATAACTGCTGAGCAAGGCAGAGATATTTAAGCATTATGTAGCTAATAAGTGGTGGAACAGGAATTCAAGCTCCTATCACTTGACCCTAGTTCCTATTTTAAATTCCCCAAGACCAAGACTGTCCTTAACAACTGGTACTGCTGATTAGTTCTTATAACAAATTCACATAAAGGCAATTATTTCCATATACTTGCTCGAGTCTAAACTCCTACAACAAACTTACTTAATGTTTTTATATGCAAGTTGCACAACCATCTCGATTGTCATGTCCAAAAAGTAATTGTTACCCCCTTCCTATAGTCATCCCTGTCTCAATAAATAGCATATATCCATTTATCTAAAAGACTCCTGACAGAAGACCTAGGATATAATCTTAGCATCTCCTTCTTCTTCTTCCTTATGTACATAAGCCAGTCCAAGCATTGTTGATGTTACTTACAAGAATATCAGAAATCATGGTACTCCACCACCATTAGTCTGCTCTTAGTAGCCTGGACTGCCTCTTCATTGGTTTGCTCCTCTATTTTCTGGCCCCTTTTCTATTCACTCAACCCACAGTATCCAGGGGAGGAACAGAATTACAACACAGATCTGTTTATAGCATGTCTTTGCTTCCCAAGATCCAAACAATAATGCATGAAAAACAGCCCAGTCTGACCAAGGCTTCTCTTTACCACACTTTCCTTGTTTAAGGAAGTCATGATAGAAATACAATATGCAACAAAATATTTCCATTTCAACTTTTTAAAATATATACAATCCAGTGTAATTAATTATAAACGGAAAGAAGCCTTAGGGGAGGCACAATAGTTAAGCTAATGAAAAGGTTGGGATTTAGTCCACCTAGCAATCAATAGAAGAAAAGACCTGGTGATCTGCTCCTATAAAGATTACAACCTAGCAAGCCCTGTGGAGGCAGTTCTACTCTGTCACAGGGACTGCCAGGAGTTCTAAAGTCAGCTCACAGTTTCACAACAAACCATCACCACTGTCCATTTCTAAACACTTTAATCATTGTTAAAAAACAATGTCCTTTAAATAATATCTGTCTGACTCACACATCTCTCTTTCTTTCCATTTATAATCCAATCACACTGGATACATTAGTTTCTCTTTTCAATCTGGTCCTCTGTATATGCCATTCTTTCTGTTTGGAATCATCACTATGCTAGTGTCACCCACCCCATCCATCAGATTTCCCTGAACAAAGCTACCCTGCCCACCACACTGCCTCAGGTGCCTCTGCTGCACTCTTTGGTGACCTCCTCTGTGTCTCCTGTAAGCTGTGCAATTAATATTTACATGTATGATTGTTCAGGGATTAGTTCTTCCCCAGACTGTAACTCCATGAGGACTTATACTAGTTCAAAGTTCTTTTACTAACCTCTGATTATGCTGCAGTGCTTGACTTATAACATGTATGTACTGTATGCTGAATAAACTCAAGTAATTCTCTAACTGCTTTGGGGCTCCCAAGCTCCCTTCAACAGTATAACTTGGAAGTGCAGGCTTATATTAGATTTGCGACCACACCAAGGCCACAGAGGACCAAGTCATACAAATGTGAGGGTCTAAGTCTAAAATTCCACAGAGATACCCCATGTGGGCTAGAGTTCATGAAAGCCACTCTAATAGGATTATATGGGAGAATTTTCCCTGGAAATTCCAGGGATGATGTAATTGATCACAGCAAATAGAAAACTGGGTTGCAGTTTCTCATCGGGGTAAACCTCTTTTAAAAAAATAAACCTGAAAGGATTCTTGCATTCTTTCATGATTCCTAGTGCCAAGGATCCAAGAAAAAAGAATCATGTGAAGCTTTGCTTAATCTCCCAGTCTTGAAGAAGGAGCTGATATCCGAATCATATACCTGAGGAAGAGAAAGCTGAAGCTTCCTTTGTAATGAAGTGTATTTCGCACTCAGGGTGTCTGACACACCTTGATCCTGGCCCTAAAGATGAGTGCCACCACCTCCACCACCTGAGAGTCTGCATCACCTGCTTAGGCGGCTCAGTGAGGGCCACAAAACTTACTCACTTCCCAAGATGAGTGAGTCCAAAGCTAGTCCCAGAAGCAAAAACAGAACATGCTAAGCTCCCCAGCCCCTCCACCAGAGAAATACCCCACACATGCATGCTCTGATATACTTAAGTGTGGTTCCTACAGGTGACCCCTCCCAACGGACACAGTCCTGGCTGCAGGGCTGGGGCTCAGCCGCACCGTCGCCAGCCACCACCTCCTCAGGGGGGTCCCTATTGAGTAACTGGCGCTCTTGCATCTGCCTGTGGATGTCCAGCTGCAGCCTACACATCTGCTCCTGCAGCTCACTGATCACATTCAGAACCGACTGTAGGAAGGAAGAGAGAGGAGAAAAAAGCACGCAGTGTCAGTCAGCTCTCAGGCACGGAGCTCTTTGAGAGAACAGCACAGAAAAGGAAGGAGCACACAAAGCGTGACCAGTAGAAGCACCCAGTGGTCACTGTCTATGGCTGTCCGCTCCCAGCACAGGAATCCAAAGGCAAAGAATGTTTCCTGATGCCTGCCTCATCCATGGGCTGGTGGAAGATGGCCGTGAGGCTTGAACAAAACCACAACAGCAAGTAGCTCCTTTGCACTGTCCTGGAGGGCCATCCTTTCATGTCAACACCTGAGACACAAAGCCTAAAACCCATCATGAAGCAGAAGCAACAGCAGAGATGGGGACACAGCAGGAACACATATATAGACACATACTCTTTGCACATGTGTCCATGCTAGACAGGTCAACTCTCCCACCCAAATGCTCAAGCATGCCAACACCTCATGCACAGGTGACATGCATGACACACACATGTTAGCATGTCCCAAATCCCAAACTCTCCTGCACACTTTAAGCCTCACCTCACTTCATCACTTCCCACTCCATACCTGACTCCTCTGGGACTTCTAGAATATTTTAGCCATGCATGACAACTTTAAAAAAGAACTACAGACTCTGGAATTTCTATCTATTAAATTCTGAATCCTTTTAACTAGCAACTCCATAGTATTTCCCTTACTAGTCAATACACATGTCAATCTTCAGACGCCCACAGTAACCTACAGGGATGGACAGTGGCCCTCCTCACCTCCCCTACTGTCAAGACTTTTCACTACTCTCCACTCTTGTTCTCTTAATTTTTAAACTTGCCAAATGAGAGACTGAATCTGCTATTCTTCTATCCATCATCTCATCTCCTCCCCATATCTCCTGGGGAGACAGGATTCTGTGTCCACATTATTGGGCTCATCGTCATCATTCTTCCTTAGGGACTTCCTTTCAGTCAAAACCACCAGCTCGACTCTTCTCTCAAGCTATTTGACTCCCACTAAAAGTGCTCCATTGTATACCTTCAGCAATATTGGATTATATGTCAACTTGTCTGCCTGTCTCTCTCTCACTCACTGACTCACTCTCATTTGTCCAGGTTTTTCTTTAAATTCCTATGGCTACACCTTCAAGATTTTCTATATCCACATCTAAATTATGAACTAGTAATGTAAACTAGCAGAAGAGTGATGGACAAATTAGATTACCTAAAGAAATCTTTAAGGGTCAGTCAGCTGCTTGATTATCATTCAGGTACAATACAGCTATTTTAACATTCATTCCATACTCTTCCATCTTATCCACAAGATTGACTCAAACAAATTTTTGCATCCAATTTGATAGGCAGAGGAAAGAGTGAGTAAAGGAAATGGTGTGGAAAAACAATGTATGCGAGCTGTTAAATAAATCAGTATATAATAAAAATTTTATTTAAATTTTTTTTTCATCATCTCACTTACCAAATCTTTGACTACATGACATGTTATCAGCCAAACTAATAAAATGAATCTGATGCGGTAACACTCAGTGGATTTTTACTCTGTCATCCAAGTAGCTTTTCACAAACTATCAGAGGTAATCACACACTCAAAATAGACTAAATGCTCTAGAATCCTTGAATTTCATCTTAATTTTGAAACTCAAGAAGAAAACAGTTCATTTTCCATTTTCTAGAAAATGACTTGGTTTTTCTGGTTCTCTAAAACTCACTTATACAGCAAGCAGTCCTGGGATTTTTATTTTAAGTTCTTTGTATCTGTCAGAGGCATCGGTAAAACAGTCCATGTTTCCTTTGATCTTCTTACTGAGAACATTAAGTTAAAGAAATCTTTCAATTGTCTTTAGCATTATCCTTTAGTTTGGGGTTTGTCATTTCTGAAACT